GCTAAAATTGAAAAAAGCACTATATGTTTACCTACAAAAATAAATAAATAAATAAGTAAAAGTCATTTTTGGTCCTGTACTTAAAATGAAGTTTTTGGTACTAATCTCTCAGTAAACTGCAAACATACTGCAGAAGACTTCTACAGCTTAGTAACTTGCTTAACAAATAAGAAACATTTTTATGCTTAATGTTTGTATTTAGTAAAATTTGATTACAAATAGACCTTTAAAGGATTATAGACTTTTAAATTGTGTAACTTTATTTGTGACTATACTCTGTGACTCATAATTCTGTTGTATTCCAATACTGTATTGAGTTTTCTGACATGTTAATAAATTTTTTTTCTTCAAACATTATTTTCTTAGACCTAAACGTTCATTTTTTTGGTTTCTCCAGTAGGCCCCTGGAAAACCTCAAAAGATGCATCTCATTAAAACTAATCTGATATATCAGTTTATGAAAGGATCATTTGTAAACTGTATTTATTATTTTTTTACATATTATTGGTACTATTATGTCCAAATCATGAATTTGTGAGATTAATGCTCTTAAAATGACATTCAGTTACAAGTTTATCTCAAATTTCTGTGTGTGACAAAAAAAAAAAATTGTTTCCTCATTTACCTCTATTGTTCTGAACTGCTGTCAAGTTATTTATACACTTTTTTTTTTTTTCATTTTTTGCCATTCTGAAAATTGCTTCCCTCCCCAATGAACTTTTAGGCCTGACTTTTTCCTTCACCCAGAGACAGGTGGCTATTGAGTAAGACATATCCTTCCCCCAGGACTCCACTGACTATAACCATGGGATCTGACTCCTAGGGATGAGCCTCCCTAGCAATGTGGGACCTGATTACTAGGGATGGAGCCTTCCTAGCACTGTGGGACCTGTCAATTTTGTAGCCTACACATGTATTCAGATGAATGATTTTTGGCCAAGTGTGGACAGAAGTCTGACTACTTTTCCTATTTTCCAAAATCTTTTCAAAAGGGACTGGGGAAGTCATGTCCAAAAAACATTAATAGATCATTTATTATCCATTAACAGGATTCTTCCTACATCCTGTCCCTGGCATATTATCTTTGAGATTATATTCCAACAGATTACAGTATATTCTTTTGCTTATCTCTTCCCAAGAATTTCCCTTTCCTTGAGATGTAGATTAAGCCTTTCCTGAATCTCTTCCCAAGACACAGCTCTTCCCTTCCAATCACCAACCTAAGAATTGTGGAACCCACCTATAACCTACAAGGCGCTGCTTCCACATGTCCCACCTTTTTGGGCCAGACCAATGGAAAATCTCATTAAATTTTGTCTCTCAATCACAAAAACAAATAAAAGGAATGCCTGTATGTGATCACCCTGAGAAAGGTATGTATGCTTCTTCTCCATGCCTAGGTCACTCATATTTGGCTTGAAAATCAACTGCATTAATTATTAATTATTAATTTTTACAGTTGGTTATTTTTCTGATGACAACACAATGTCATATCCTGACAAAAGAATTGCAGCACAACCTCTTTCTGCCTGGTGGGACTGGAAGATCAGCTTCCTGCTTGGTATTGCTGACATTAAGACTGCTTTCATCTGCACCTGTCAGATGGGCAGATTAAGATTTTACTGGAGGGGCCAACAGGTGACATGGAGGTCCTACGTAGCTGACTGCATGGTTCAAGTTCTGGAATCGATGCCTTGAAAATTGTGTGCACGTGAGCCCAAAAATTCTGAGAGAAAACTGAAGAAGGGATTGTAGTGTAGTCATACCCCTAGGGAGTGATTTCTCATCCCTTCCTCTGAGTGCACACCACATACAGGAAAAACTAAAAACTAAGAAAAAAATACAAAACAGTTTTTTTCTGGCTGGAACCATGGAGGGCATCGAAGAGAAGAAAACGAAGGTTCCTGCTGTGGCAGAAACCAAGAAAAAGGCTTCCTGCTGTGGCAGAAGTCACCAAGAAAAAGGTTCCTGCTGTGCCAGAAACCCTTAAGAAAAAGCAAAGGAATTTTATGGAGCTGAAGATCAACTACCTGAGAAAAAAAAAACTTGTTCAAAAGCTGCTTTGAAAGGCAAGGAGGAAGTTTATCTATGAAAAAGCTAAGCACTATCATAAGGAATATATACAGATTTACAGAACTGAGATTTGCATGGCCATGATGGCAAGAAAAGCTGGCAACTTCTATGTACCTGCAGAACCCTAATTGGCGTTTGTCATCAGGATCAGAGGTATCAATGGAGTGAGCCCAAAGGTTCAAAATGTATTGCAGCTTCTTCGTCTTCACCAGATCTTCAATGGCACCTTTGTTAAGCTCAACAAAGCCTCAATTAACATGCTGAGAATTGTGGAACCATATATTGCATGGGGGTACCCGAACCTGAAGTCAGAAAATGACCTGATATACAAGCATGGTTATGGCAAAATCATTAAGAAGTGAATTGCTTTGACAGATAACTCTTTGATTGCTCAATCTCTTGGTAAATTTGGCATTATCTGCGTAGAGGATCTGATTAATGAAATCTATACTGTTGGAAAACACTTCAAAGAAGCAATAAGTTCCTGTGGCACTTCAAATTATCTTCTCCACAAGATGGAATGAAGAAAAAGACATCCCATTTTGTAGAAGGTGGAGATGCTAGTAATAGGGAAGATCAGATCAACAGACTATTAGAAGGATGAACTAAGGTATCCACCATGATTATTTTTGTAATCTGATCAGTAAATAAACAGAGTGGCTGTTTTCAGACTGGAAAAAAAAAAAAAGAAAAAGAAAAAACCCCACAAAACAAAACAAGCAAACCCCTCCCTCTAAGTGCACACACCCTACACCCTCCCTCTAAGTGCACACACCCTATAGTAAAAACTAAAAACTATTCTAAAACTTTATAAAACAAGCATACAAACAAAACAAACAGACAGAGATCACTGCCTACTTCCTGAGGGTAATGTTGGTGCCACTGGTGTTTGGCTGGAGTAAGACAGATAATGTCAAAAAAATGTTCTACTGACATACCTTGCTTTTCCTTTGACTAGACAGAACATTCATTCTTCTTGGAGGTGTTTTTTTTTGTTTTTTGTTTTTTTTTTACTTTTCTATGCTTATTGTAAGTTCTATGCGTCTTTTATAGTATCCTTTCTGGGATATATGGAAGGTAATAAAGAAACTTGCTGTCATTTTGTCCTTCAAGTCCCAATGTCTTTTTTTATTATTATTTATATACATTCAATCACATTGTTTGCTTACAAAGTGAACATTTCAATATGTGAACATTTCTCCCCAGTCCAGTTGATCAAAATATCTTCAAAAGATAACACCACACCTGCCCATCCCGTCAATGTTCTGCCTCTATATCCCTCCTCCAAATGTCCTTCCCAAGTCCCAATGACTTTAGACAGTACTCTTTCTATTTCCACCTTTCAGAGTGTTTTTACGCTGGTTTGTTGTGTTTTAGTCAGGCTGTCAAAAGGAGCTATGAAGATTGAGGCCACTACATCTAGTGGATCTGAAAGTCCCTCTGTTAAATCAAATTTTAATCCCCAAATATTAATCTATACTCTCTATTAACTCATAATGAACATCTCATATATCTTGGTATCATCTACATATGCCTTACATAGTAATTCTGAGATAACTAGCACTTGATAAATAGTGAATGTTCAACATTAACTGTTTGCTGTGTAAAGACAGATGTACCAATAAAGTGGTTTATTTGTAGCCTCAAACATGTATGTGTGCGCCATGCACCAGTATTGAAGAGAGATATCCTCAGACAGTCAAAGAGACAGGCAGCTCATCTCCATTGATGACATTACTTTTCTGATCCCTGATATTTTATGACATATTTCTGGACTGGAAATCATGTTCCAGGCTTAAAGATTAAGTTCTGATACTGAATTATGAGTTCAGAAGTGACTTTAGCTAGCTTAGAATGTCCAAGCTTTCTTTCTTTTTTCTTTTCTTTTCTTTATTTTATTATTGTTATTTTTATATTACATTTAATCACATACATCCTTATAGTGTATAACATTTCTTTTTCCAGCATGATTACAATGAAGCTTTCTTTCTTACATCTTCTTCTCCTTCTGAACTTAAAGGATCTCTCTAACTCCAACAGGGACCCGACTCAAAGTGTTTTAAACTAAAATTATGTTGCCAGAAGTATAGTACCTAATTCTTCCTAATACAATATATAGGAGAAAATTTAAGATCTGAATCTGCCAAAATTTCTACAATTTTACAAGAAGTATTTTGGACTCCTTATTCTGAGATATTCCTCTAGAATTTTGTCTATTGTCCATATTGTCCCTATTTGCATTCTAGAAACTACAATGGATTATAAACTAGACTTCAGGGATAAGTGGTGCTTTGTGGTACTACTATTCATTAGAATAATGTGTTACAAGCTACTCTATTTCACCTAATAGGGTTGAAGACAGTGATTAGTACAAAAAGAATAATGCATGTCATTCATTGTTCCTCTGTTAAGTAAGGCATAGTTTTTGGTCCTAGACATTTAATATTTCAGGTTGTAGGAACAAAGAGATTGATAGGAGGGGGAAGAGTCCTCATATTTGATTTACTTTCAATCAATCTTAGAACACAGATTTTCTCAAAGACTGAAACAAACAAACAAAAAAACACTCAACTGATTCTGTGAGTGTCTGAGGAATGTACTCATCATATGATATTAAGAAACACATTTTCACACATTAACGTCATTATCTGAAAGTTAATTATATTCCTCCTGTACTTCTATTATCTTCATACTTGTGCAGCCAATGTATGAAAAGCTTGAAATATATAATGAGAAGTTGCTTATTTCTCAATCCAATTGGCAAGGCAAAAATAAGGCTGATGTTTTAAGCAAGCTCAGCCTGAAGCTGCAGTTCCAAATGTGACATCACAATGCACCTAGTGGCTACACACAGATTATCTATTAAAGATACTGCTTATTATGGAACAAACCCAGAATTACTCTTTTATGAAAAGATTTGCACTTACTTGGAAACCTTATTGATTCCAAAAGCCACTTGTTGATTAAGAGACGCAATGATTTTGTCTTTCTTTTTAATATGTATTTGGTTTTCTTGGCACCGAAAAGTCACTGTTTTCAACTGTCTTTTGAAATCCTGATTGATGAAAAATATTTCACAATTAATTCTATCCAAGTCACAAGAAAATGAAAGAAAAAAACTCAAACTGAATTCTTTTTTTTAATTATTTTTATTATCATCATAATCTTCTTTATGTTACATTGGATTACATATAACTTTACAGTGTATTACATTGCTTTTTCAAAAGGGAATGCCATGCATGTCAGTTAATACAGAGACATTAATCTCCCTGCTCCAACATTCAATATCTTTTCTATGTTTTCCCCAATCATTATTATTTTTATTCTAATTATTTTTAAAAAAACAGTCAATCACTATTTCTCATTTTGCTTGTAAAAAGACTTTGCCCATCATGAAATACTTCTCAGACCAATACAGTTGAGAATACTATACATGTCATCATCAACAGGTAATAAGTCATATCTGTTTCTCACTAATGTCCTGCCTATTGTTCTCTTGCTATCTTTCTCTAAAACTGGATTCTACCACTCTTCCCACAGACAGTCCTTTTCCAGCAACAGGCACAAGGTCCACCTACAGGTCTCTGTCGAGCAAGGGATATTGAGGGAGGGTCATTTCTGACCCTCACCCCACTTCCAAACTCCCCAGCCAAGACTCCACCTCCTAGGCAGGTAGATAGAATTTTTCTGCGGCTTTTTTTCTTGGAGTCCCTCTATTCTCTTGTTAATTCCTAGCTCAGCCTCTTTCCACAGACTGTCCTTTCCCAGTAGTAGGCACAAGGTCCACCTACAGGCCTCTGGCGAAATCACGCACGGTGCATTAGCGCAGCACGCCACTTTTTCTTTATTTCTCTCTGTTGTCTTTCATTTCATATTATCCTCTCCTCTTCATTTTTTACCCTGCCAGAGGGACTAGACAGGTCTAGTAACAGATATCTGAAATTTCCTAGTAAGGTAAGTGTCTCTGGGATCCTCCCTTGTACTGATCTGCCTGTGAGAACAGAGATACTGCTTTTTAAACACCTCAGTAGAGTTCCCCTCTTGAGAGCACATTGGTAAAAACAACAGAAAAGAGACTTCAGCAAACATCTATTCCCAGCCAAAAGGAAACACTCTTACTCCTAGTAGGAGAAATGTTCCCCCCAAAAGGTTTTCAAAAGTGAATATATCTTCCAATGGCTAGAAGTAGAAAAAGAGCCTCAGGTCTGAATAAAA